TACAGTGTCAACATTCATGAACAATCTGAGTGGAGAATTAACAACATCTCTGAATTTTTCTTCATGAGTTAGTATATGAGACCATGAATCAAGAACACTTACATGCAAATATGTTTTTTATAAAGACTTTCATAATTAGCTCTAAAACCCATAACATCTATTTCCATAAGCAAGACAATATCAATGTATATATTTATTTAAATGTCATTAAAAATAAAAAATTATAATTATAAAAATAAAAAAATTATATTTAAAAAAATTACCCTGGATTTCCTTGAAGGCTGAAAAGCCTTTCACAAACCACATTTTCTACTTGTGTCAAACTTAGTTTAAAATCAATTAACCTTTCCTTAAAAAGTGACTTATAAACATAAGAAAATTTTATTTCTCTCTTTCCTTTGACATCTACTACTGATGTTCCTTCTTCATTTATATCTTTAGGTTTGACAAAAATTGGTTTTGATGGTCCTTCTAATGTACCCAAAAGGGGTGCAAAAGAAAAAGGACTAGCATCAATAACATCAACATTTGGAATAACACACTCTGGACCAGCACTTGATTTCTTCAAATAAGATCTATCCTTAATCTTATTCTTTGTCATCCGTTCAGAAGAACGTTGACTCTGAGATGACTTATTGGAACCTTTAGAATCTTGAATAAATCCAAGACTAAAACTTGGAACAAAAAACTTCTCAAATTTCCCTTCCACATTGTCCTTTTTCAGTGACTAAGTCTCTGTAAGCCCCAAATCTGCTTGTGTATCAATCAGATCCGTTTGATGGTACGAAATCCCAATCAAGCGGATGATGCCATATCAAAATAGAAGAGAAGAAGAAGAATAATAATATGAATATATGATGTATTCAAGATTAGAATGATGAACAATACACAAGATTTACACACACTTGAACCTTCTCTCATTTATCTCTCTAGAACACCTTAGAATACACACACTTAAGCTCCTCTCGCTTTCTCTTGGCCGTGAACTCTCTTCTGTTCATCAATCCCTCCTCACCCACCTAATATATATATATATGTGTATATATATATATATATATATATATATATATATATATATATATATATATATATATACTTGAGGAACATGGGTCGAAAATGAGTTCACATCCGTAAACACCCATTGGGACATAAACACTTTTCGGTCTTAGACGAAAAATTACAATTGCCCAGAAAAGCAAAGTATAAACCATAATTTAAACCCAACAATCTCCCCCTTGGTTTATAGCTTTCTTTTTTAATTGACTCAACAAACTTCCCCTAAAAAGGTAGCTGGCTATTCTTTTCAATCTTCATTTGGAGTTTGGCTTCAACATTAATCTTCGATTTCTTCACAGCTTCAAGATGAACATATAAATCTTAAATAAATGACATCATATCGAGCAGTTAGGCTTTTCTACAGAATTTGACATTGAATGCACATTGAGTGAGGAGGCTTCATGTAGAGATTCTTTAAAATTGGCGCTTCCAGCTTGAGAATCTTCAGAGATAACAGAGAGAACGAATCTTCTGGATCACTTTAGCAGGTACAAAGATAACAACAAACTGATTGAGGAGGCTTCAATGTAATCCATCACATAATCTTCAATTGCAGCTTCACCTTGCTTCTGGGGTTGATGGATTGAATGTTGAAAGAATAGTCTTCATTTCTTGCTCCTTCGAATGAGAATTCTTCGATGATCACGGACGAAGCCTTGGCTCGAAATTTTCAACATAGACTCCATGAGTTTCATCTACATCTGAATTCACTTTTCAAGACAAAACAAAACTAAAAGGAAATTTAGCACACAATATTTTTGGATTTTTCATATTTTCTGAAAAATAAAATTGAAACAAAAATATTTTTGGATTTTTCAAATTTTCTAAAAAAATAAAAAATAAAACAAAAATAACACTATTTTTGGATTTTTGGTTTTTCTGATTTTTGTTTGGTTTTAAAATTTTTAATTCTCCCCTAAATTTGTGCATAGAGGAAAACTATGAACAAATTTAACAAAAACAAAAATATTTGACTAAATATAAGACATTTCTGGGATCAAAGTTGTGACAGTCTTAACTTTGTTTATCAGTACCTTCAACTTCATGAATAGATCTGGTCAATTGCCGGTATTGTAGTCCAGTTAAACACGATGAATATCGACAATTTTTTCTAAATAAACCATTTAGCTGACGACAATCGCGAGTATTGTTGTCCACTTAAATCAAGCAGCGAGATCTACTGGCTACCTCTTAAATGGTTCAATTTTAGTTGCACTAGAACGTGTTGCCCACTTCCTAATATACCCTGGTTATCAAGAACTTCCTAAGAAATCCTTACTTTAGGTGAGTAAACAATTATTAAGGAGGAAGACATATTTAGAGATAGATGCATATATTGTGTCCCAAGTCGGATCTCTTTCAATCACGCAGAGGGGACAACATATGATTAACAAAGATTGAGGGATTGAGAGGTAGAGTGTTGCATATGCTGTGTCCCAGGTCGGATCTTCCAATCACGCAGAGGGGAAAACATATGGCTAATAGATAGAAAGAATTTCATAGATAAGGAGGTGCGTAGAATTAGAGTTACATATGTTGCAATCCGGGTCAGATCTCTTCCAATCACGCAGAGGAAGCAACATATGACTAACAGATAGAAAGCAAGAAAATAATTTCTATAGACCTACTTTATCAGAACCCCCTAGTCGCCCTATCAGAACCAGAACTAAGGACATAAGTCCATACATCAAGGAAAAGTTGAACCACTGTTCTAGATGCGTATTAATTTAGTGTATCCCGTGGGTTCTCGTGTTTATCTCACTGCTCAATCTACCCGAGCGTCGTATGGTCAGTCCAAACAATCCTATCTAAATCCACACTGTCAAATCCTTCGAGCCTACCAGCACATTGAACATAGAGTCTAGACAATTCAGATTCAGTACCTTACACTAGTTTTAGACTGGCCGTTATCACTTTCTTGATATCATTTTCCAAACAATACCTACTAAAGAAAAACTATAAGAAATAAAGTAATTGTTTTCAAAACGAAACAGTGTAAGATAAACTCAGGAGTATAGAGAAGAAAACTCAAACCGTAAGTTAGCGATTGAATTTGCATTCAGAAGTTCTAAGAACAACATGCATAATCTCAGAACAGATCCGAAAATTCTTCACATCGTTAAGCACAAACCCCATGTGTGATCGTTTCCTTTCTTCCCTTCCCGTAAATGACACATATTCTCAAACAAAGTTTTGAATGTTGTACAGTTGAGAGATGTCCCCTATCATATGCCTGGAACATCCACTACCAACAAACCATAGTCTGATGATATGCCTCCATAGCTACTCCAACACAGAGCGGGATCAGTTGGTCTTTGGAACCCAGTCCATTTTGAAACTGGGTCGACCTTTGTCATCTTTTCAAGGTACTCTCTCCCATGACATATCCTGCTTATTACAAATAGAAGATGAAGAAATATTAGAATCATTAGAAGATTTGAGAGATTTAACCTTGGGTACCCATTTGTAATTGGGTTTAACCCATTTCTTGTTTGAGCGGATGGATGCCTCGACACTTGCTTTTGAGCTTGTTGTCGGCCGTTGAGATGACTTTAACCTAGCCGGTCTTGGTTTCGTTTGAGCATCTCTTGAATTCTACTTTTTGGCCGACATTCCTTTCTTGACCTTGGGATTTTGATTCTTGGCCTTTTGCGCGTTCCAGTCACCATTGTTTGAACGTGGCCTCGAAGGGTTTCTTTTGGAATATCTCCCTCTTGGCACGTTCTGCCAGTCTTGTGTGTAGTACGGAACATATGCGTGATTTGGATAGTTTCGGGCAATGTGTCCCGGTGTTCCACAGTGAAAACATGTCTTTTTCTTCACTGGGAAGTTGTTGCTTCCTGCCCTTGGTGGCATGTCATTGCCTTGTTTCTAATTGTTCCCACATGCACACTTGCAACAGGCTGGCTGTTTCGCTTGTTTTGGTGGCATGTATTTCTCAACAACGGGTTTGTTAGGAGTAACAAAATTAGAAGCAACATATTCAGAGTTCAAGGAGACATTGGTTTCTTCAATAGCGTACTCCTTGTTCTCATCTTCCATTACTTTACTTGCAAACGAAGAAGAAACATTAACATTCTTTATCTCAACACGCTCAGTTGGCTCTAATTGTTCAGTCTTAACTGAAGCTGGAGCTGGTTCAGGGAGTGGGCCAAACTGAGCAGGTTTCTCTTCCTCATTGGTTTCAAGGTGTGGGTTATAATTGTCATTAAAGGGAGGTGGTACACTGTGATACCCTAGACCCTTGGTTTGATTATCTTTAAATTTCAAACAATTGTCAATCATGGACACAACTACCTCACTTGACACATCAAACTTCTTAAAGTTGAATTCATTATCTTTATATTTTTCTTTTAATTCATCAAGTTCGGCAGTTATAGTGGCAAGCTCTTTCTTAACATATTTATAGTTTACGCATTTGTTACTATATTCTTCTTGCAGTTTATCAAAATCACTAGTCTTGGCCTCTAGTTGTTCTTTTAAAGGTTTCTGGCCTTTCCTAAGTTGGTACCCTTCCCATTTAAGGTCCTCGTTTTCTCTTTTTAATAAATCTATTTGTTCGCGAAGAAATTTAATCGTAGCCTCACAAGATGGAGTACATGAAACATCATTGACCGGGAGGGATGCGAAACTCATTTTTATCAGAAATGCTCTTTAACTTGAAAACTAAAAAGTCAACCTTAAAAGTCAGATTTAAAAAATCAAACTTAAAAGTCAAACCGAAAAGCTAAATTTGAAAATTTGAAAGTTAAACGAGAAAGTCAAAGGTCAAACTTGAAAATCAAAGTAAAAAATAAACGTCAAAAATTAAAAACTAAAATTTTTGGTTTAAAATGAAAATTTTAAAATAAAAATTTTGAATTTTGGGCTAAAAGAGACAATATTTCGAAATCAAGAACCAAGAAAGGAGTCTTTTTGAATTAAATTTGGGAGGTGTATACCATCTAGCAAGCTAGATCAGATGGTAAGACGTTGGTTTGAGGAGGGGAGTGGTCCGGGTTTGATTCCTGGCAGCTCCAAATTCTTTTTTTAATAAGATGCTGCGAAGTTTGAGCTGACCAAGACTGTTCGATGTCGCTGAGCCGTAAACGTCCGTGGGCCGTGAACTTCGTGCCGTTAACTCCGAGAAACCCTAGCCGTAAATGCCACCGCCGCTGAGAAACCCTAGCGGCAAACTGATTACGGCCGAGAACCCTTCAATGACCGTAAACCCTTCAAAAAACGACGTTTTCACCCTTTTTTGCTCCAAAACTCGATGAAAAACTTGTTTTTATAAAAAATGAAAAGAATAAACCCCTCTTATTTTGCCAAGATCTATCCAAAAACACAAAAATCCTTCAAAAATAAGATCAAATATGCTCCAGATCTGACCAAAATGATTGATACAATCCAAGCTCTGATACCAATTGTAAGTCCCAAATCTGCTTGTGTATCAATCGGATCCGTTTGATGGTGCAGAATCCCAATCAAGCAGATGATGCCAGATCAAAATAAAAGAGAAGAAGAAGAACAATAATATGAATCTATGATGTATTCAAGATTGGAATGATGAACAATACACAAGATTCACACACACTTGCACCTTCTCTCCTTTCTCTCTATAGAACACCTTAGAATACACACACTTAAGCTCCTCTCGCTCTCTCTTGGCCGTGAACTCTCTTCTGTTCATCAGTCCCTCCTCACCCACCTAACATCTATATATATATACATATATATATATATATATATATATATATATACATATATATATATATATATATATATATATATATATATATATATATATACTTGAGCAATCTTCTATTTCTTTTCCTAAATCCAAATCAACTTCAACATCTTCACCTTCTCCATCCTTGTTTGCTATAATAACTTTATCATCCTCACCCAAATTTATAGTCCCTAAATTATTAAAATCATAAGTGAATCATCTATATAACATATTCATATATATATATATATATATATATATATATATATATATATATATATATATATATACACATACATATTTTATGTATAAAAAAAATACATAAATAAATACTTACTATCATCAATTCATTTTTCTCAAAACCAGTCAAATTCTCATTCACATCATCTTCAACTCGTTTCTGATTTATACAACCATCAACCAATTTTTTAGTACCTATAAAATTCAAATACAAAAATTTAAAATCATATATGATTAGACTATATATAATAATAAAATATGCTTACCTTGATCCAAAGTTTTAAGAAAACTTTCAACAATTGGATCACATATGAATTGACTAAAAGTTACACCTTCCTGGCTATCAATTAGACCCACACTCTTAGTAAAATTTTCAACAATAGAATTTAAATTCATGGCCTCTTCTTCATTGAATCCACTTCGATTTCCTTGTTCATCATCTTCATCATCTTTCTCATTCAACAAATCATTATTTTTACCAATATCATCCTCATATACAGTATCATTAACATCACCTTTACCTTCAACATGATTTTTACCAACATTGCCCTCATATGGACCACTTCCACGCCTTGACCACCAGAACATTTCCCTTGATCATCATCTTCAACATTTTCATCATCATTCAGAAAAACATTCCCATAATCTTCATCATTAAGTTGAACAAAATCAGGTGTCAATATCGGTTCTTTACTTTGTTGTGAAACATAATGGAAATCAAAACTTTCTGTGCTTAAATCTTCATCAGGACATAATAATTTCCAATTTTTCAGATTTTGAATTTGAGGAAATTTCAGCACTCCCTCATCTATCTTTACAACAATATCCTTTTTAAATCCTCCATCTTCTGATACTTTTATTTTCATACACCTACATAAAAAAATATACTTACAAATAAAATACTTAAACATAAAAAGTCATAAATGAATACACCAATAAAATAATAAATTAATAAAACTATAAAATTACCTCTACAACACTAACTTTATTAACATCAAAATCTTTTTCATCCTCATCACATAAATCCTCATCACCATCAGATTCATCCTCATCACCACCACATTCTTCCTCATTATACTCAGATGCTTGGCATTCTTCTTCAACATATGGTTCATTAACATCTCCACATCCAAATCCTCCATTCTCTTGTAAAATATCCTCAAGAAACCTTATCTTCTCTGACGTCTAATAAAAAATAGTTGGACGTTTATGTGTGACTTGCAAATGATCAAACTTGAAACTATCCACATACAACAACTACAAAAAACATATATAACAAATAAGTTAACTTTCTAAAAAGATTTACTTATACAATTTAATATATCATTAATCATAATATATATGAATAATCATATATGATTATACAATCATATATGATTTATACAAATAAAATATATCATTAATTATAATATATATATATATATATATATATATATATATATATATATATATATCATATATGATTATGATGTCTGATATATAATAAATCATATATGATTATAAAATCATATACGCTTAAAAATAAAAACAAACATATTTTTACAACTAAAAAGAATATTTAATATAAAAAATTAGCTCACGTACCATAAAGTAGGCTGCTGGTCCATAAAAGAAAGAAATTTTTTTTCTCTGGGTTGTAAACCTTCTTTGTCCTTACTAAACAATCGACAATGAAATCTCACCAGTCAATGGTACTTAAATTAGTATCTATTCTGATTAAATACAATGGATTCAGATTACATTTTCCCATGCTTGTAGACTCTCAGAATGTATTAATAAAAAGAACCAAAAAATTGATTCTAAAGTTATCATCCGCTGCACTAGTTCGAACAAGTTCATTCTTTAGCTGTTTCAATCTCAATTTATCAATATTTTCATGTTGTTTCTTCCATTTAAACATACAACTCTCTTCATTATTCTCGGAAATGTAATCCATGTTTGAAAGTAATGAGCCACCAGATGGTAATCCTAACATCTCATGAACAGACTTACTATCAACACTAACTTCACAATCTTCAAACTCCACCTTCAAAGTTTCAAAATTAAAATGATCAAGAACATAATAAACAATCTTCAACGGTACATCAATCATCTTCATCCATAACAAACTATCAAATCCCATACCCTAACACAATCCTTCTGTTCTTTACATAAACCTTGAATAACACCCAACAATAAACTGAGTGAACATTTGTTCTTCAATGAAGGAAATTCTTTTATAACAACAAATTTCTTTTCTCTTTCTTCACAACTTTATTTTCTCTTTTTGGTTTCTTTGAAGATCCAGGACGACTCTGAAAATCAGAATCATCTTCATCAGATAGTTCACGTTTCTTACTTACAGTTTTGACCGTAACCCTCAGGTTCACGTTAGGTTGTTTAATAATTGTTTTTTTAAAGATTTCTTTGACTGTGTTTGTAACACCTCCTTGGCCTTTTCTTTTTTGGAAGATGATTGTGTCTTCCTTGAGCTCTCTAAAGTATCTTTTTTACCTAAAATTTTCATTACAAACATACTGTTAGTAAAAAATAAAACATAATACATTTAATCAATTGCAAATGAAGAAACATAATCACTTATGATTGCAAAAAACATACCCTTATCATTTTTAACCTTTGAATTTTTCTCTAAAATATCTTCAATTTCCTTTTCATCAACAGAAGCATTTACTACAAAAAATTAACATAATTAGTAATTAGTACTAAACAAAAATGCATATGACTAATAAACTATGATTTCAAATCACACAATCACTAATGATTACATAATCATTACTATTTACTAATTATTATAAACAAACTTATAAAATCATTTATGATTAGAACTAAAAATAAACATACAACTAAATGTTATGTTCAATAAATTGATAAAAAAACACAAAATCAGTTATTATTACAAAAAACACCTTTAAAATTTCTTCTCTTCGAAATTTTCTTTTTAACTTTTGCAGAAAGATATTCGTATTCACGTTTGGTACATAGAAATACATAAACACAAAATGTCACACCCCCAAACCAGTATGGCGGAATCGTTCGAGGGTGGATGACTTCATGTAGTATCATAACAGTTGAATAAATAGTAAAGAAAGCAAACACAACCATCATGAATATAATTTAAAAAGTTACATTGTTGATTGTATTACATGTTTCAAAAGAAATTACATTATGATGATAAAATGTGAAATCCCCATTTTCACGGCCAGAAAAGACCGATTTTTGTTTATGATTTATAAAAATCAGAGTACCTCTTTTAATAAAAATGTTGCGGAATTTGTTCCCAGTAAAACATGACAAATACGTTATCAAAGCATTTTCGAAGAAAAGTATTTTTATTCATTTTAAAACATTTGGGATGTCATCGTCAATACAGAAACATAAGCATAAACAGAACTTACATTCATTATCACTAGTGATTTATATCTCCTTAATCTCTCAGTGTAATGTGACTTCATATCAACACCTGTGATATAAATAAGCTGAGTGGGTCAGGTTGGGAAACCTGGTGAGTAGATAAGGTTCTCAACCCACAATAATATAATTATTATGTTTAAACAATCAAACAATCAACCCAATTACCCAACCCCATTATCTTCTTTACTCTTAAGGATCTATCCTAAGAGTCATCTATCCTGCATTTGTTTATTCCGAAGTCCCTTGCTTCTAGGGTTATAGGACTGGCACTAAATCCATAGTTGCCAATGCTCATTTGTAAAGTACTAATTCCATAGCTGCTATAGTTTATTCATTGGGTACTAAATCCATAGCTACCAGTGTTTATCTAACAGGTACTAAGTCCATAGCTACCAATTCCTAACAGGTACTAAGTCCATAGCTACCAGTGTTTATGTAGTAGGTACTAAGTCCATAGCTACCAATTCCTAACAGGTACTAAGTCCATAGCTACCAGTGTTTGTCGAATAGGCACTAAGTCTATAGCTGCTAATGTTTACTCACATCATCTTTTATCTCTCATCATTCATCTACCCATGTCATGCCCAACATATTTGTATATATAAAATACGTATATAGTTTGAATCTTTAAAACATGTACAAAAACGCTCATCCAGCATAGACAAGAAGTATTAAGATAATATGCACACATTGTACGTAGTTTATATAAAATACTTCATATCTATGTGTAAGATGAAAGGGACCATGCACTCACCTGAGAAGGTGGTGACTCGGCACTCGGACATCACTTCTTTATCTCAAAACAATTTCCATAGGAAAAAACCTAGTATCATTACCACTAGAGTTTAGTCTAATATTCACCGAGACTAATTAATAGTCTAGATATTATTACTATTATATAAGCGTTAAGCAACACTTTTATATAACTCATAATAATAGCCCAAATAATTATTTTAAGGTCCTAATAATTTTACTATATCAAAACATAAGCTATAACAAGGATAGGATATGCGTAGCTCACTTACAACGGGTTTCTATCAAAACTGGGCGCCGCTGGAGTAGCGTTCCCGAGCCTAAAGGCTCTTCTTCTTGGAGCCATCGGGTGCTCTGGGGCTTCCGCCTTGTGCTAGGGCGGTTCCCTAGGCTTTTCGGGGGGTTTCGGGGCTAGAGAGAAGTTCTAGAGAGAGGGAAAGAAGTAGGAAGGTGTGAGAATGAATGGAGGCCTCACAACTTATTTATAGGGGATGGAGGAAGGTTCACATCGTGAATTTTTTATATTCACGTCGTGAGCCAGGCTGGCTACAGCCAAGCACAGCCTGGTGCTGACACGTGGCAGCACACACAGGGTGGAAATCATCCGATTTTCAAAAATTCATAACTTTCGCATAAGAACTTCGTTTTCGACGTTCTTATATCCACGCATAGGTAAAAATAAGATCTACAACTTTCATTTTGACCCCGGTTTCTAATTCTCAATCGATCTTAAATTTAACAGTAGGAGGAGTTTAAACTATTAAATGACCGCGAAGAATTCGTAACTCGTTCATACGGACTCCATTTTCGTCTGTCTTTTTACTGTTGAGTTCCTATTAATGAGATCTTCAACTCTCATTTAGGTCGTGTAAGCCAAAAACCGCTCGAACTAAAATTCGAGTTTCAGGCCCTACACTGCTAAGCCGAATTTTAGAAAATCATAGCTTCCTCATACGAAGTCAGATTTGGGTGTTATTTTTATGGATGTTACTGGTTTAACATATACTACAACTTTGGTTTATATTACTAAGGCCAAAAAGTCTTCTATCGTAAATTCATTATTTTACGTCTCCCGGTGCCGTGCTGGTTTTACCGAAAAACTTCGACAGACCATAACTTCTTCGTTATAACTCGGATTTCGGCGCTCTTTATATGTACGGAATCCTTGAGACATATTCTACAAGTTGGTTAACATTATTTATTCTAAACAATCTTTTGTCCAAAAGTTGTTTTTGACCCCTATTATCTCTAAATTGACTAGCCCGGATCTACGAGCGTTACAATTATCTTCCCCTTAGGATGATTACGTCCCGGAATCATCAACAAAACATGACTCACATGATGACTCCGTACGTTATCTCTTCATTCTAATTAGTAACCGTAACTTTCGTGTTTCTTTGAACGAGTATCTAACTCTAAGACTTCCTGACTGCAGGCGGTGCCCGATCTTGGACCCGTTCTCTCTCTCTCATGTTAGACTTCCAATCATGATCTTCATGTCACGATCTCGATCTGTATTGGAGAATCCTTCTTTAATAAACTTGAGATAAGTTTCTTCCTTCGATTATCATAATAGACCGATGGGTCATGTTCTAATGACCTCTCATCGTATGATGCATCGCTTGGAATCAGGTCTTTTAGAGTCAAATTCCAGAACAGACTATACCTTCCTTCACATCTTAAAAGGTAGCATTTCTAGCTACAAGAAACTTTTCGCGATACCTCTACTGATCGCTTTTTATTCCAATCTTCCGTCTTAAGTCAGACACTACATTGAACTTGATTTTCTAAACCAGATGACATACTCAGCGTAGTCGGACTCAATTCGATATGACCACTAGGGTAAAAATACCAACAATCTTCTTAGTCATTACCGAAACGATGGTAATGACATACTTGAGTAAAACGGAATCAATTACTACCTTCTTGGTAACCTTGTGACTTTCTCTAATCTAAGCGTGAGTCCTGTGCTTCCGGTAATATATGCATCTACTACCTTTTACACCTACTCATTCTCATCCCAAGTATTGTCTCGCAGTTTTCCAAGTCACCATACAAGAAAATCACATAACTGTTTAACACGTCATATAACAAAACGAAGGCTTTATTATTTCTCGAAACTATTACATAGATGTTCAAGTTCACCCTAGATTATGCCTCCAATAGGCTACATCATATGATTCTATCCCCTTGGTTACTTCATAACTTGATCCTCGGGTATGAATTCCTCATCCTTGGTTCCTCGCATGGTTTTCTACTTCGTCGAGGATCATGTGGAATGCCATTGGCCTTGGTGGTGTGTTTGGTCTTGCTGCCTCATTTTTCTTTGTGCAGTCCCTAGAAATATGCCCTTCTTTGTTACATCCATAGCACACCTTCTTGTTGGATGCACACTTGCTGGCGTAATGCCCTGTCTTTCCACATTTGTAGCAAGTCACCTCCTCCTCCTTCTTCTGTCTTTGAGAATTTCCTTTCTTTGTTGGATTTTGAAGATACTTCATGCTTCTTTTTCTTGCCAACTTCAGCTCTCTCCAGACCCTTTTCCCTAATCTGGGTCTCAACATTCCTGGTTGCCCAGATGGCGGCTTTCAAAGTGGTTGCTTGCTTGACCATTGGACCAAAGTCTGCTGGTAACCCATGGGCAAACTTGTTAACCTTGGAGAGTTCGGTTGGGACTAGGTAAGGAACCAACTTCATCTTTTCCGTAAAGCTTGCAGTGTATTCTATAACGCTCATTCTTCCCTTCTTCAGATTTTGGAACTCATTGTTGATCTCCAGAAGATCCTGCTCAGAGCAGTACTGCATCTTTAACTGTACCAGAAAATCTTCCCACGACATCTTGTTTGCTTCTCCTTTGGGCATCGAATCAGCTAGTAGCTTCCACCAACTTAGTACTCCAGATTTCAACAGAGGAACCGCGAGAGCGGT